GGCCCAAACATTCGACACTGTCCTTATTAATAGAAATGAGTGACAATCGGTTTGAAAATATGGATAATGGAGAAATAACCGGATTAATTTCAGTTGATATTAGGAAAGCCTTTGACTCTATTGACCATAAAATCCTATTAAGGAAGATGCACGACCAGTTTGGTGTTCAAGATTTTGAGCTAAAATGGTTCCAATCCTATTTGACGAAACGAAGCCAAGTTTGTGTTGTCGATGGCCACACATCGTTGGCTAAGGAAATTGTATGCGGAGTTCCACAGGGATCTATCTTGGGACCCCTCATGTTTTTACTATATATAAATGATTTGCCAGAATGTCTGAAAAACACAACTCCTGGCATGTATGCTGACGATACTCAAATATATGCATCTTCCGCAAGTTTCTCCGAACTAGTAACCAAACTTAATCAGGATTTAGAAAATATAATCAAATGGCTCTCTCGAAATAAATTGCAACTTCACACAAAAAAGACAAAAGCAATGTTTATAGGATCACCTTATAACTTAAAAAACAAAGTTGGTAATGAACAGGTTATGATAAATGATAAACCGGTTACTCGATATTCCTCTTTTCCATGTCTGGGAGTAGAACTAGAAGAAAGAATGAGCTGGGAAAATCATATAGACACAATATGTAGGAAAGTTGGCTCCGGTATTGGAATCATCAAAAGAGTAAAGCCGTTTGTACCGTCCGAAACACTACAAAATTTATATAATTCTCTCGTTCTCCCATATTTTGACTATTGTTCATCTTTATGGGATAATTGTGGAAGCATGCTCAAACAGAAATTACAAAAACTACAAAATAGGGCGGCAAGAATTATGACAGGTGCCAATTATGATGTCAGGTCGACAGATTTGCTCCATGCTATGTCATGGAAAAATCTGAACGACAGACATAAAATGAATAAATCGGTCTTGATGTTCAAAATATTAAACAACCACTCAGCTCCGAACTTAAAGGATAAATTTATAACAAGGGACATAAATCTTAGTGCTAATTATAATCTCAGAAATGCTGATATAAATCTTTCAGTTCCTAAACCAAGTACTGAATATTTAAAAAAGAGTTTTGGATATAGCGGGGCTGTTCTATGGAATAGTTTACCTACGCAGGCAAAGCAAACAGAATCTTTAAGTAGCTTCAAAAATTTGATACTCTGAGTGTATATCCACACCGGGCGAGCTTGAAAAATATGCCCGGCCACTGTGGGATTCGAACCTACGACCTTTGGAACACTAGTATATCGAAGGAACTAGATTCTGTTCCGAAATATCACTTACTCGAACCGTCCTGACCGCGTAGCTCAGTTGGAAGAGCATTGGGCTAGTGTTCCAAAGGTCGTAGGTTCGAATCCCACCGTGGCCGGGCATATTTTTCAAGCTCGCCCGGTGTGGATATGCACTCAGAGTAACATCACAAACATATTCTTCACCTGAGTACACAACACCAACACAGAAAAATTCATATTACTAGAACACATTGGTATTGAATGAACTAGATACTGTTCCGAAATATCGCTTACACGAACCGTCCTGACCGCGTAGCTCAGTTGGAAGAGCATTGGGCTAGTGTTCCAAAGGTCGTAGGTTCGAATCCCACCGTGGCCGGGCATATTTTTCAAGCTCGCCCGGTGTGGATATACACTCAGAGTAACACCACAAATATCATATTCACCTGAGTACACAACACCAACACAGAAAAAATTAATTTTCGATATGTTCAGAACTATGATCAGCGTAGTGTAATGAAGACTCGTACTTGGCAATTTTACATCTCTCAAGAGTAGAATTGCATTGCAAGAAAAATTGCACCGTGTAACATGGCCTTTAGGAACACAGGCTACCAAAACTGCAGTTCTCGATTTAATAAAGAACCATTTAAGAATACATATAATCAGGAGCGTGCCCCCCCAATTTTTTCAAAGGACTAAAAGTGCCCTTTTTTGTGATGAAAAGTGTCCTTTTTTGTGACGAAAAATGCCCTTTTTGTACAAGCTAATGTCGTTGTAAATACTAAACTAACATCAAAGGTGCCCTTTTTGTTTGGAAATTTCCAAGTTTTTTTAAAAAATTTAGTCAGAAACGTGCAATTTCGGTATGGTATGACGGGAAAATTTTTCTCCCCCCCCCCCATTTAAGAATACATATAAAAATTACATCCCTGCACTTTTCACGTTTTTTCAGTACGTCAAACGGCCGCATTTCATTCAATGAAACGCGATGAGATTCCGTACGTCACGGCAGACATATTCGTGGTATTCCAAATGGACAAATTTTGGCCATGACCTCTACATGATTACAGGAACGGGTTTGCTTCACTCAATATAGTGAAGTCCATGCATCCTATAGCCCTCCATATAGTGCTCAACGTTTCTCTTGAGTCTGTGAAGAGCGTGTCGACATCAATTTTAGTACCTAAACGATGATCAGTTAAAGAGCGTCGCGTGTTTTTAGCTATATGCAGTCGCTTTATCCTCTAAGGCTCTATCATTCAAAGCACGCAACAATTCTTTTTGGCCATCCGATAAAATTGGCTATTGTTCGATTGCATGTCACTTCACCTGACGACAAATGACGTATGTAACTCAAGGACCTCTTTATAGTCTTGAAGCCGCAGTAAAATCTGGAAGAATTGACCACTCGAGTTTAATACATAATAAAAATCAAGTATACTATTTGTATATATTGTCACGCAATCATATAACTACACTCATGCAGATCAATGAACAATGTCAATGCTGCAAGCTCGTGATTCTGCGTCTTTCCTACGGCCTATGATATATTCTGAGGTTACAAAGTGCTCACTCGGAATGTTTTTCATCGCATTTTCCACCTTTGGGAATTTCAATTTAATTCAATTTTCGAACATTTGAACAAACGCTAGTTGCCTATTTGGGAAACGTTACTCATCGCGAGTTCGGGTTGAAGTTCAACTGAGTCTGAGGACTTGTTGATTGACACATACGTTACGCTTACGCCATCTTTGTTCGAGTTTGAAAATTGAATCCGGAATGAAAATTTGCCTATATTGTATCGCATTGATACAAAAACTGCATGCTACTTTAATTTGACAAGTAAAAGCCCTCTGTATAAAAGCCTGAACTTTATTGGTATGAAACAATTAAATCCGTGCTAATATGTTTGATGACATTTCACTATACTGACCCCGTACTAGTCGTAATTTGATGGCATGTAAATGCAATATACAAAGGAAAGTGTCTTCGCGTTCTACCGTAATAAATTACACAAAATATTCTAATGAAATTATAGAAAATTAATTATGTTAGTAGATTTTAGCTCATTCATTTCTGGCTGACTTTAATTCACCATGATGCCTAATTTTCATGTAATTGCATGTAGACCTGCAAGTTTGTTGCCAATAAAGTTTGTTTGCTAGCAGAATCGTTGAGTTGCAAGGCATGAACAGGTTTTACATGCACCATTACGAAAATTTGTCATGGTAACATAACGGCAGCTGCTTGTACGGTACCACCCCACAGGGAGAGTAACTTTAAATTTGCCCAACTAAATTGACCTATTGCAGCCATGCAGCATGCAGGTTCAATTTCCGCATCTGTTAGAGCGGCTGCCAAAAATTATCCTTCCAAAAAAGGTAAAAAGACAATCTGGTGTTTAACCATATATAGCACGATTGGCTCCGTTTTAATATTTGATGTTCCGCGATGATTAACTGGCGTATATATATTTACTCCGAATTGCCACTCCAGGGGGAAACACGCCAGGATTATATTTAGTTGATCACAGTATCATTACTAATGAATACGCTGGATTAAATCATTCTTAACTGACCGAGACAGCTAGTGTGTTAGGGTTGGAAACTGTAAGTCGTCCTGGAAGAAAACCAATTGAGGGTTACTACACGGAACTAAATTAGGACCCTTACTATTCGCAATTATGGTTAACTCTTTATTAAAAGATTGACAAGGCAGGATTATAAGTATGTCGATGACACTTCAGCAATTGAAATCATCCCTCGGTGCTCACCAAGCTTACTGCCCATCGTTGTCAATGAAATTTTTTATTTGCTGTTTCACGTGGGATGAGGCCACTATTTGTTGTACTTAGTTGTTCATCCGGGGCTTCACCTAAAGTTGATGCGGGCGGGTGGGCCATTACCATTATGCCATTATTTGCCGGGTTTCCCGTCTCCGCAAAATTTATTTTGGAAAACTGCGCATTTTGATGCTTAAAAGCATTTATATAGTGCGTACCGGAAAATACAGGAATCGTTGTGTATGTTTTATACAGCTGCTACTTTCTGAATGTTTCCACGCGATTTTGATGTGCACGACGGCAACGTACTAACAAAATTCAAGATGTATTGCGAGTTTTATAACACGTACCGGTCTATAAACACTGTGCAGAGAGTATAGGTATATAAATCGAAATCGATAAACATGCACTTCTCCCCCACAAAATCAGCAGAAATATCAATGCTAGCCCTGGCCAATGCAACCTCGTACCCAGGCTCTTACCTTCGCACGCCCCAAGCTGCGGAAAGACCCTGGTGCCGGCTGGTCACGTGGCTCCCAGATTTTGGGTGCTAAAATAAATTGCTATTTAGGGAGGGGTGGTAGAAATGATTTGTACGTATTGAAATTGTTTCTGAATTTGTAAAATAGTAAAATTCTAACTCTACGAGACAATAATAAAAGATTTTTTCTTGAAGAAATGTTAAAACAACAGATTAATCATGCGTTGCAGCCGAAAGAGTATCATATTACTCTCAAGGATTACAAATATCTCATATTTCACTGTCACTATATCTATTATCGGCTTAGCAAAAGCACGCCAAAGAAATTTTTACAAAAAGATCTCCTGGATCAACTGAAAATAGTTCTCGTTGTCGATATATAATGGTGTACAAGATCAGACACATTGTAAGAATCTCTTCAACAAAACAAATTAAAGAATTTTGAATAACACGGAGTTGATTCATGGCGAGAAACTGCCGCATGTTGATGATTTTCCGTATTTGATCTGCCGATCGAGTGCCGTCCTTGTGAACGACGATTAAATAATACGATTTCGTTCAAGAATGTAATTTCCGAAACACAGAAATCATTAGTAAAAGATTCCCGATCTAAGCGATGCCCTGAAGTTTCTCTATCCGTTGCCAGATCTTCGGCAAATGTTGCTGTAGTTGAAAGTCGAAGGCGCAGTTTGGCTTTTATAGTTTATACTGACTTTGTCAATGTGTTCTCCTCGAGTGATGAAACTAGATCTGCTACACCTTTATCCATGCCAATAGAAGTAAGTCAATTGTTTATGAATATCATCTACCAATATACTTTACCGCAATTAATAAATATAGTCATCCGTATACGTATGTTAGTAATTCCCATTTAAACCCAAAATGTGCAATCCAATTGTGATTTCTCCATGCCCATGGAATATTTTTTGCGAATATTTATAGAATGGCAGACGCGCGAAGGCCACTTGATTTCAGTCGAGATATTTGATCTTGTATCAGTGAATTCAAGGGAAACACAACTATAACAATACACGAACCGTCCTGAGTAGATATCTCAAGTGATTTCCATGGAGAAAGAAAATCGACTTGTTTATTAAATATGATCTTGCAAACAACAACAATGGATCAGATGGAAAATCAGATACTTTCCATATTACCCGTTGGCAGGATACAAATTATTAATAACATCTTTTGTCGAATAAATAATATATGTTTAAGTACATTTAAGAGTTTGTTAAGGCCCGTTTACACGGGCAAATTGCAAATTGAATGTCAAAGATATTTTGCTCGTGTAGATGATAAATTTGTGACAAATTTATTGTGACAAATGCATTTGAACAAAAGCTAGCATGCTAGCTTTTGATCAAATGCATTTGATCAAATGAAATTTGCCAAATAAAATTTGCTCGTGTAAACCGGCGGGGCTTTACAACAGTATTATTTGAAAGCCCTGCACAGTTGTTTTGATGCAGGACCCAAGAACATGGAGATCTGTATGTTTAAAATGTGACTCTTGTCGAAGTTAGAACACAATGTTATGAATCGTGTAATTTAACCTGGCGAAATTGAATAAATAAATAAATACTTTCCAAACAAAGAACTTGCTTAGTTGCTTCGGCTTCAGTACAGTATGTTGTTATGATATGCACTATTTCGAACAACGAATTCCAAACAAGCAAGAAATGCAATGAAACTCGAGCATCTCCGTTCGAGTCTCCGTTGAAATTATCAACTTTGCTTCTATGGCCTGGCAGCATGTGAATGACAAAAAGAACACAAACGCGCGCATAATTGGCAATTTGACACGAAATATTCAATACAAATTATACACTGACAAATTGCGATATAAAGTGCTCTCAAATTACACTTTTTGCAATTCAAACCAATACGTCCGCTCCTTGCCAACGAATTTTACTATTGGAAAGTGGAAGCATTGTAATTTAGATTTGTCCATCTCTCCCTTGGTAAATTAATATCCTGGGAGCCACGTGACCAGCCGGCACCAGGGTCTTTCCGCAGCTTGGGGCGTGCGAAGGTAAGAGCCTGGGTACGAGGTTGTGGCCAATGTTCCACTGAACACGGAATCGTCGTGCTGTTTTGCAGTACACACTGTAGTTTAGCATTGCAAAACAGCACAAAATCAGTAAGTGCAACCATAGTTAATAGAGGACAACTATGGTGCAACTGAAAGCATGTTTTCATATTAAAAACATGGCCGCTCCACATGTGAAATAATTTTGTATCCAGGTCGTCTCGCGTTTTTCTCCCCTGGTTTCCGGACCAGTTCCGGTAGAACTTTTATAGCTGAGTTTGGATATTTAATAAGTGTTTACCTAAGCGGGAAAAACTGGCAGTTTGGGTATGAAATTTCGTATTTTAACTATAACATAACGTTTCTAATTGTCTTTATTTCAAATTTCACTTTGAAGACATCACAAGATTTATAATAATGGTCAAAAATGGCAATAATGGTGGACAAGACAATTACTTAAAAACTTGAGAAACTAATATACAACAAATAGTGGCCTGAAGTTAAACTGTTAAACCCAGTCTATAGAGTCGATATATATTTCTGGAACCCCGGTTGAAAGAGTTTGTTGTTACAAGTTATTAAGCGTTATCATGATCTCGCGAGATCTTACCTGGAACGTACAGACACGTGGATTATCAGTCTCAAGAAAGCCTATTCCCGTCTTTATGCTTTGAGGCAACTAAAGAAAGCTGGTTTAGCTCAACATGATCTTCTTAGACCCTTCTTAAAATTTATTGCTCCTCTTTGGTTAGGTCTTGCCTTGAATATGCATCTCCTGTGTGGTCGGACTTAACCCAAAATTTAACAAATTTAATCGAGTCTGTTCAAAAACGAGCGTTACGGATTATCTTTCCCTTTTCTTGCTTACGAAGATGCTTTGATGCGGTCCGGTCTGGAAACTTTATAGCAAGTCCTCGATCAAATGCTTGCCAGATGTTTGTTGAGAAAATGAAGCCATCTGACGATCAACTAAATAACCCTGTTGCTAACATTTTGATACAACTTAAGATTCGAGGAACTAAATAGAGTTAAAATACTCATTAATAATTCATAAACCCTGTGGCAAATCATGTCAGCCATAATATGTCACCTGGAGTGACTTTATATCTGATAAAACTCATGTTCATTAGTATTCTTTATATAATTGTTAACGTTCATCCTAATTAGTATTCGTTTGTAGTCATATTTCAAGCTACAGTAGTCCCCTGCTAACACGAACTCGCTTAACTCGAACTCCTCGCTAACTCGAACAAATTTTGTTTTCCCTTGGTCAAATTTATCCCGTTAACTCGAACTTTGTTTTCGAGTCGTAGATCGGCAAACCTTAATATGTCAGAACGTAGCATTTTGACAACCAGAAACTTAAAATTTTTATTCAAATAACAACAATTTATCGGTGTATAAATGATTATAAATTTTAAAAGATTATATACATTGTGCGACGATTGTTATTGATCTATTTTTTTAGTTCCTTTTGTAAAATCTCTATACATATTTTTCCTGTCTACGTATTTTTCCTTTAGTTTGCATGGAACTTGCATGCCTTCTCCATCACCCATGCAAGTTAACAGCTTTACCTTTGATAATAACTGTGCATGAACTGTAAGTATCCGCTCGCAGAAAGTAGAAGTCGTAGAAGACTGTTTTAGCAAAGCGCCCACTTTTCCCTCGTTTTAATTAAATGTCCCACAACTCTATCGTGCATGAAGAACACACACAGCGTATTTATCGACAATATTTGTCGTCTCGATCTTTGCTTTTAACTACTTCCTTCACTCTCGGTGACCATTCATATTGGTAGGCATGGTATCCCTTGACGAAGGATTCGATTTCAAACGAGATCAGTGAAGCCATTGCTGTATCAGCTTCTTTTCGGTGCTAACGGTGCTGTACTGATCAACGATCAAAGATACTGACTAAAGAACTTTAGTTAGGGATGCACAACGAAATTTTTGTAATTTTGATGAACAGTATAATAAAACTTTTGTACCTTATTAATTATTAACATAATAAACGAAATCTGACACCAACTCCGGTTAACTCGAATCCCCACTAACTCGAACAATTTTTCGTTCCAAACACTCCGTCGTGTAAAACCAAACACTGTTCCAAACAATCGTTGTCGTGTATATACATGTGATTTAATAAACTGTTGAACGAAGGAAGAGTGATTCAAAGTCGTATTGGAAAAGGAAGGAAATCTGTACCACAAAACAAAGCAAAAATATTTGCGAAACTTGTTATGGAAGGTCAGATAAACTCGGCAATGCGCTTTCTGAACGATGATAGTTCGGAAGGGATTCTATCGATAACAGATGATGTAATGCAACAGTTACGAGAGGAACACCCATAAGCACAACCAGCAAAATTGAGAGTGCTACTTCGTGGACCAGTTCAAGATATACCAGAGAGAACACCGCGGAAAAACGTCTGCGCATGCACCAAATTATGAAAATATGGCGGGGAATTTGAATATCAATTTCTAAAACAAAAACATGCTTATTAATTGGTCAAAGATTAGTAAAACAAACCAGAAAATATAGCAAATGGGTCGACTAGACATTAATTGAAAGCGTCCTGGCATTTAAAGTATGGAATGAAACATAATTCATGTAAAAAATTGTTGATTTTAACGGACACGACTTCGAAAATTTTTGCAAAATTATTCAAAACAAAAATTCAAACTCAAAAGTTAAGAAAACTCCCGAAAAGTTAAGCTTCTTAACCCACTCAAATTGTAGAACAAATCCTAAAGTTTAATTATTGTGAACACGAAAACTTTTTATATTTGGCAACACAGTTTTTTTTAAAGAAATGTATCTCAAACGAAAATTCGGAAATTGTCGTTGCTTAGTTGATAAACAAAATGTTTCAGACGATAAATTTGTCAACAATCACCTTTAGTTTATGTTCTTGTACAATACAATTTCTTGAACCTTCTGGCTGTATTTATTCCTAGTTTTTAGAATGACATGTTTATTTTTGCGCTCGAAATCTGGCTGTAAAGACGCACAATGAAGTCACTCCTTTTTACCGCCATTTTGAGCTTTCAGAAACATTCGGAACAGCTTCTCATCAAGTTCGCAATACTATTACAGGTAAGGTTGACGCATGCGCAGACGTTTTTCCGCGGTGTTACCAGAGAGTATATACCTCACAATAAATGGAGAAATATATACGAGACGCAGCTTTGAGGACAAAAGGATCAGGGGGGTCATCTGGTGTTGATGCAAATGGGTTTAAAAGAATCCTTGCGTGTAAGTCATTTAAGCATTCGTCAGTAGCGGTCTGTGATGCGTTAGCAACATTGGCACGGAACCTGTGTACGGAATATGTTGACCCATCGTCAATAGAAGCTTTAGTTGCAAGTCGCCTTATCCCCTTAGGTGGAGTTCGACCCATTGGAGTTGGAGAAGTGGTACGAAGAGTAATCAGCAAAAGCGTAATGAAGGTTGTCAAACCCGATGTGATGAGTGCAAGTGGTTCACTTCAGTTATGTGCACTTCAGTTATGTGCGGAAGTGAAGCTGCAATTCATGCAATGCGCAAAATTTTCGATGAAGATGACACTGAAGCGATCCTACTCATTGATGCGTACGTCTAATGCATTTAATTCCCTAAATAGAGCAGCCGCTCTCAACAACATAAGGACCCTATGCCCGATAGTTTTGACCTATGCGATAAACACGTATAGACTGCCAACGAGATTGTTTGTCCTTGGTGGTCAGGGAATGAAATCATCGGAAGCACAACGCAAGGCGATCCATTGTCTATGGCTCTTTTTGCGATCAATCTGCAACCATTTATTACACGCTTACACATCACATCTTCTACAAAGCAATGCTGGTTTGCTGACGACGCTAGTGGAGCAGGGACCGCAATACAGCTGAAGAAATGGTGGGATACATTGATAGAAGATGGTCCTGAATACGGTTACCACCCCAAAGATGACAAGTGTTGGTTGATTACAAAACCGGAAAAAGAAGAGATTATAAGAGAAATATTTAAAGAAACAGAGATAAATATCACGACAGAAGGAAAAAGGCATTTAGGAGCAGTTGTTGGTTCAAAGTCATACCTGAACGAATATGTCAACGAAAAGGTGGAAGAATGGGTGAAAGAGATAATCAATCTGGCTGATTTTGCAACAACACAGCCTCAAGAAAAGCTATGCTGTTTACACTTTTGGGCTGAAACATCGATGGACGTACTTCCTACAAAAATAGGTCATACGTCCGTCCGTCCGTCCGTATCAGCGTTTTACCATAACCCAAATTACCTCCGTACCCCTTTCATAACAGTTGGCCGTGGTGTACTGCAAGGTGATTGTCTCAGTCGTCTTCTCTTCAATATGTGTTTCAACACCTTTATCCAACATATAAAAGCTGAAAAATATTGCCAATTTGGTTTATCCGTCCTAGTTTTTAAATCCCATCCACTGGTTCCAGTTCGCTGATGATGCTGCGAACACCTCAACCTCGTCATCAGGGCATTTTGCCTCCACGGCTGAAGCCGTGAAGGTCGGCGAAAATGGCCCTGTGATTGGTTGATCAATTCTACAGTCCCATTAGTCTGTCTAAAAACGCATTAACTCCTTTGCAGTAATAATGTATTCAAACAACCCTAATGCTTTAAAATTTTTTGTCTTCAAAGTATACGGTAAACTTGTGAGACTCATGGATATAAGAACTATGCAAGCCCACTACTCTTAAAATAACGTCTTTAGATAAGTGAGTTGGCAAATCATTACTTCACATTTATTACTCGTAAACAAACAACAAAGATTTAATCTCACATAAATTGTCGTGTCAAAACAACCCAGAAATTCTTGGTGTCATGTGACCAGCCGATCTCAGGGCCATTTTCGCCGACCTTCAGCCATGGAGGCAAAATGCCCTGGGGACGAGGTTGCATACACCCTCCATAATTAATTAACTAATTAATACCACCAAAAATAAAAAATATGATATTTTCCTCATTTACCATTTTACTACGGTATAATCCCGCTGTAACTTAACAAAAATGTAAGCCTTACGTAAAGGAACTCGTGTTGTTTATAAATGAACTGGTGTAGTTTATAATTAGACGAAGGCAAGAAAGAAACCTATTATTTTGATTACTTTTATTTGGTTCTTCAGTTCAGAAATGTTCACCTTGATACAAGGAAGTTTATTGAATTAAACGTTACTAACAACCGTTCAAACATACTCAATCTAATAAAATGCTATTACTATTTACAAGTGTACAAATTCTGGCCATTTTTTGAGCCATCTGTCTCTAATTTCACAGAAAAGGTCCAGCTAATTAATTCTAGTTAATCTAACATAGAGGAATTTTACAATGTTATATATCACTGGAGTCTCTTATTTCGGATGTTAGGTCGTTTTTAAAAGTACATTTAAAAAATGTCTGGAGTAATAAGAACAAGAAAGAGAGCAATGCTATTTGTGTAGGTCAATTACAGTAGAATAAATATTCATTTATTACAACTGAGAAAATGACAGAAGTCAAATCGGATGTAACAACATCAACGTTTTGTATTATAGATATATATGTTTCACTTATATAGTATTATATCGCAAAAGGTGGTGGTCAACAAACAGTTCTAAAGTTAGGAAAACGATGTTTTTATCATGTTTGGCAGTCTGGTATTTGATGGTAAATAAAATAGAGAAAATTGGTTTAATTTGCTTACTTCAATAAGTGCCAACACTTTTCAAGTTGACCATGCACAAAAAGATTTAAACCTTTTTCTTGTTCTTACTCACGGACAATCTATTTCTAATGCGCCTTCTCAAACATCCAGTAACCAAGAGGAAGCTATATTACAATTATTAATGTACGGGAATATGAGTACAGGTATAATTACCTAATTCAAACTAGTTTCGTTCATATGGTTTGAGCAAATTTCTACTATCAAATGTATTAGGCAGTCGTCTCTGGTATCATATCACATATTGGACGAATATGATCATTTTTCTACCTAGGTACAATATCAGGGAGGGTGGCCTGACTGACTTATTCTTTTATTCCTTTGGTTACTAAATGCAAGCATGAGAGGCGAACAAAACATAAACCTAACATAAGAAAACAATACTTTAGCGTTTAATATAAACAACATTCCCAACGAATGCGTTTCGAATTATTTGAAAGTTGCTCTCAAAAACGAAAACTTACAGAACGGTTACATCTGTAACTGAAGAATCTTACCTGCTCATGCGCGAACGACGAAGACACCTTGTAACATGACGTCATTCAACTACAACCTCCAGAAATAATGTGCCAAACTTTTGCATATGAGAAAGTACCCTGGTTATAGTTTGTGGTGACGGACCCATATTTTGGGCAGTTGAATAATTTGTTGGGACTGTAAAAACGGAGGAATAAGAATGTGTTAAAAAGAAAATATCAAGCATGTTTCGTTTAAACAATATGATTCTGGTAATTGTAGTTGATGACGTCATTAAGGAGTCTATATTTGGACAACATGATACCGATAACAGAGAGTTTGGCAAATACAAGGGCAACGGCAATATGGTCATCAACAATAGCATTAATCCTCAAAGATAAAGGCGAATGTAAATTACATGGTCTTAAGCGTTGTGCAATGCCGTAGTTGTTGAAACTAGTACGTGATCTGCATCATTTCACGGTGCATGACTACGGCAATAGTTAATTCGGTCGATGTTATTTGAGGTGTTTTATTTGAATTCGCGGACTATTTTTACTTAAGGGTACGTTTGAAAGAAACAGGAATACTTAAAGTGTATTTTGTGTAGTAACGTTACTAAGTGTAGTAACGTTACTTTGGCTCAAATACAACAATATAAGCAATTATATTTTCCCCGTTGCCGTTCTAGGTTGCCAAACTTTCTAACATACGACGGCTACGGTTGAGTAAGGCAAGTTAGTCTACAGCTTGAAACGTTGAAAATCAGCACTTTTATTTTACAAAACAAGAACCAAGATGGAAACTACTCTGATTTTCTAACTATCCTAACGAACGTTTGAGTATGTGTTGCCGGAACACATGAAGCGACTGAAAAAGATAGCTAAATCCTTATGAAATATTAGTGAATCGCTAAATCGAAAGATAGTTAGCCAACCTTTAACTCTATTACTCATCAACCACGTTCATTCCATGACACATAATTCTGGAACAAAGTTCTAAATAGTTCAGAACATGGAAAAAGGAGTAGCCTGTATAACAGTATCAGCATGCATGTATGTTAACATTCTCAAGAAATACAAAATGATTTTAATTTGTGGTATATTAACGATAATCATAATATTCCCAACCGTAGCCGTAAATTGTTAACGGAATCTTAAAATCGATCGTGCGTGTGCGCCTATATACAAGTACATATTAATTATAGTTTCTATTAGCATATAATATTAAAATATATATATAATGTATATACTTTGATATAATCAAGGGCATAGCGAACGATAAAAATCGAGTTAATATAATATGACTCCAAAAGCTATAAGCTTTTAAATTTATTTTAGAGGTGATTGCATGGAAACACTGACTGTCAGAGTAGGGTGCCGGTTTCAGGGACGTAAAGGAAATCGAAGTACATTATTCTAGTTATACTATTTGAGTAAGAACTTTTCAAATATTAGAATGACATCATTCAAGTTTTTCCATACCACTTTTCATTAAGTATTGAAGTGATATGCAAATAGCACACAGACTCTCGATCAAACTATACTGTGGACACATAGAACTTTGGGGTATGCATACCCAGAAAAATCGGCACCCTCAAATTCGACAAAATTTGTGGTGGTGATAAAAAGGTGCACTCACAGAAATTGAGCACCTTCTCTATCAGATGTACCTTGATCCGGCTTTGTATCAACTCCAATGAGCGAAAGTCGTGTTTTTACCTTGATTCATTGTTTCCATGTAATCATGTCCCTAATAGTTAAGGAATCGTTAATAAATACCCTTTGCATCACTGATTCTCTATGCGCGGATCGGAATCGCATACGCAAATTTCGATTGTCTATCCGCGATGCATCGCTATCAAAAGGAGCGATCTGCGCTGTCAATTTAATCACCTTATGGTGTACTCTACGTCCTACAATATGTTAGGTGACAAAAACCTGCTTGGCAGGGAACAAACAGAGTCTTGTTTCGTGAGGTACTTACTATCACGTTACCCGCTACCTGTCCATAGATACGATGGAAATTTTCATACAGGTCGAATGTGCACTGGTTGCACACGACGCAAGATGACCGAGTCATAGTTTGAATACTCCGAAGAAAGTAGAGTCGTCGTTCGTATTAATAAGACTGCTTAGTTTTTTCTGTACGGCAACGTATAGTGAATCCCCTTTCTTTAATCGATGAACGCCGCTCGTAAACGACGTGAAAAATCCTGATCGATTACCCTGAAATCCATTCGACACAACGGATCTTAATAGTATTGATTTGGTTGAACCCGATTGTCGGAATACAAAATGTATCATATAGCTTTGGTCATCTGATGTTAGCTTCTTGTTGACTACTGCATCGTTCGCAGGGATTTGAAAGTATACCTGACTATATACGAAGTAGTTACCCGTCTCCGTGACATTGATAAAACGTGGAGTACGAACTGGAGAAATCATTCCTGGACTTGCTTGTGCATATCTGCCCATTTTCCAGACATCAAGCAGTTCTAAAACGAATGTAATAGAGCATAAAATAACTTACGCTGCACTGTGTTACTGACCCAGAGCGAGGGGGTTTCGGCGAAATATTTCCTGAAGTGATGCATGATATTTCCCGAGGCGAGGGAATGCACTGAAAGAAATATTTCGAAGGAAATATTATACCGAAATTTACGAACCTTCCGAGTTGAGAATAAACTTGCTACATATACCTATTGCAATGAGAATACAATATTTCGATTTAAGGGCATTTTCGTCGCTTTACTTATAAATTATTTGAGTATGTTGTTATATTTTAGGTTATTGAAGATTTGAAGGTAACATTCTTCAATAAAAATGAGCCGTCTTTGGTGCGCTTAAAACTCATCAAACATCACTTTTTAGTCTTTAAATTTGTCAACCATCTCTTATATGATCGTCGTCAGGCGTGGTTTTCGCGAATCATATCACCCGCATATCACCCGCGGGTGATATGATTGAAATCACTACTGAATCAAGTTGGCCTAGAAAATAAATTTCTCTTCCTGGCAGCAAAATGTGTATACGGTGCCACACATGTGATGTTTTTGCAATTTTTAAACAATAAGTAATTGCAATTCCAAGATAACAAAAATTGCTGCAAAGTGTACTAGAAAATTTCCTGCGAAGATATTTTGTTAAAATTTCCTGGCAGCGGCGCTGCTGGACATTTTCCAGCACTGGCATCAATTACGATGACGTCAAGCGTGATTTATTGGTAAGTTCCATGCCCACGTGCTTATAAGATGCTGAAAACAATGATTATTTCAGCAATTTGTTGCTGAGTATTCAATATATGTACGAGAATGAAAAATATTAATTTTCTGGCGAAGCATCATATAATATGCTTTTTTGTCTGAACTTTTGTCAGTCAGACATGTGGTCTTTGTTTTTCATATGCAAAGCCCGAATTCTAGAAAAATAATGATGCATGCTTTTGGACTATATTGAAACCTATGCGGAATTTTTATAAATTTTGAGCATCTTATTAACATTAGAGTGATATTTAACGTGGAAATACCAATCCGAAAGCTACGTTTGTAACCATGTGAGCACGAAATTTATCATCGAATCACCCCCCCCCCCCCCCCTAGACGTTGCGTGTGTTTCGATCGTATCACCCTAGTAGAAGTCTTTATAGCAGCCAGAGATTTATTGAAGACAAATTATAGTGTGACAGCAGCTAAATGGTAGTCTTTTAGGTCACATGATTCGCAAAAAATAGGTACGCACTGCGTAAACTATTATTACGAACTAGGAGTTACTATCGCAAGGAGAGTGCTGCCTTTTTGCCACAAGAACGGGGTGCAGAATTAACTTGTATAGTTATACACATACTATGTTTATACTTCTATTGAAATGAAGTTTACTTTTAACCCAATGGCCTCATTTCCATGTAGCATATGGCAGGCCTGCACATGAAGGTTATATCCCTTATATTTCCTGCACAAATTTGTTTCTCATTGATCATTTAAGCCCACTGAATCACAAACTTATTCTTAAATTATGAACACGAAAACACGAGCAAATAACCAACATGGAAATGAGGCCATTGGGTCAAAAGTGGATAAACAGCATTAAGGTCTATTATAAACCCATTAGCTGGCAATGTACTGCACCCTACTTTAGTATTAACTCTAATGCCAGACAATTTTACACTGTGTAACACCAGACGATTTTACTTGTCAGTGGTAGAGTACTGTCAGCAAATGGGTTAACAAACCTATCTGCCAATATCTCTTATATTAACCCATTAGCTGGCAATTCGCTCTACTTTAGTATTTACTGTCTATAAACGCCAGACAATTTTAATTTTACTCGTCAGTGGGTAGAGTACTGCCAGTAAATGGGTTAACAAGAACCATTCAATATTTCAGATTGGAGCTAGTTAAGTTCTCAGGAAACTTTCAGGCGGAAAATTTCACACAAGAAGACAAAATCCCCTATGACGACAAAACACCAAGACTGAATGATTACATAGTCCGTATTCTTTTAGCCAGATATTTAATATAGTAGACACAGACAAAATTATACTTGACTTTGAACAAACGTTAAACTCTCAATATATATATATATATATAATTATAGTGTATTTATAATGATAATACTCGACTTTGTACAAACAACAGCAGTTAAATTCTCATATACATAGATATAGTAGTATACTAGTCTTCATAACAGAGATAAAAGACATATTTATACAATCATTATAGAGTACAAATCTCGATACTTATAATGAACCCTCATGTTTCCCTCGATAATCGCAACTTTATTTTATACCGGTTCATCACATCGATAAATAAACACTGAATATATAAACTAAACTTGCAGATATAATCACTTTATGTACTGAAAATGTCGGGTCAACACTTTAAACACACATCTTTGAGGCGAATTGAAGAAAATTTTGTTGAACAATCCCCTCATTTTACAAACGAACTTGAATACTCAATGAACCCCCTGGAAATAGACCGTTCTCCACTAACAGCAGTTAGTTTGAAGTAGATGCCATGCATGGTCGTCGTTTTGAATATTTCGTCTGCAAATTGTTTAAAGGAACAACATATTAAAGGCCGATCATAAGAAAAACAAGTGTAAATTTAAATCAAATTTCACTCTAGCTACAAAAGTATGCCGAGCATGCTACATATACTTGACAATGCTGTTCTTAAAAATCCCAAAAGGCAAGGCCAAGGGTTGTCAGTGTCGTGAACACTCGAATACAAACTAAATGGGGACGTGGCAATACAAGTTAAATTATTAATAAAACGTGGAGTTTGTGTAAGATAAAATCAATTAATTCGGCGTTATGTTAGAAAATGAACAAGCTTTTGTTTATTGGTAGGCATGCAACTACCTGAAAATGTATAAGGTGAATTTCGACGTTTCGAGCGAAAGCCCTTCGTCTGGAGTTGCTTATTCGCTCGAAACATCGAAATTCTCCTTATTCGCTCGAAACGTGGAAATTCTGCTTATATTTTTCAGGTAGTTGCATCCCTACCAACGAAAGCTTGTTCATTTTATTGGCACTACCTACACTGGCACAGACAGTTCAAGATTATATTAGAAAATATTTTTCTTGGTTTAGTGCCATATTAGTGGAATGCAAATGTTCTCAAGCACAATGGCTCCTTTTTCGTTTGATTGATCTGAGATCAGTGCAAGCACAGATCAGTGCAAGTACAATGTCAATGCTCCTTTTTCGTTTGTTTCAGTTTTGAGACCAGAGCGGACCAAAATAGACCTTTTTAAAAAGTCTGCATTGTAAAGTAGTTTGCGGATAAAATAAATACGATCATTTGGCCAATCAGGCAAGCCAAATGGCTGTGCGGGGTTTTCTTTTATCCGCGAACTGCGTCACAAGGCAGGCTTTTTAAAAAAGTCTATAGCAATGTTTTTTTATTACATATGAAAAACTGATTAAACAACAAATGAATTGAAATAACAAAAATGAACTTACCGTTTGCTTTCTGCTGAAATTTTGGGATTTTTTCACCACTAAAAGTCTAAAATTCATACAAACTTTCCTTTCGCTGTAAAGTTCATACATATCGAATGGTATGTTCGTCTCAAATTAAGTCAAAGTCGAAAATTGATTTCCTTGAAAGTGGAAACACTGTGACAAAAGACAAAGAATCGTCGAATGTTCGACCTGACGTAAATTTCCGAAGTCGACTGATGTAAATAGGCAATTCCAGCTTTTAATTTATGCGCGCAGGGGGTGATGGGAAGTAAGGTATCATATTGCCGATCAGGGCCGAAGAGAGGTTGGCGGGGGCCCGGGGCAAATTTTTTTTTGGGGGCCCCCTTTCAAAAAAAATTTTCCGGTAAAAATTTTTTCAGGACAACGACCTCCGTCGTATTTTTTCAGCATAATCAGCAACATCATACCTTACTAACCATCACCCCCTGCACACATAAACTAAAAGCTGGAATTGCCTATTTCCGAAGTTACTGCGACTTCATCATCTTTGCAAACTACATCCCTTGTTTAGCATTAGCCTCCTCTGCAGGCAACTGTTTGGCTTGTAAACAGCAATAGACAAATACTGCAATAAACTAATTATATTGTACTATCTTTCTAATTTTGTATTTGCATTTGCTCAATTCAACCGAGCACGAAGAAGAACGTTTCCCTTATAGTACCTCATATCCGCTCTTAACCCTTTCCGTCCCCCTTCGCTCTGCATTATTGTTATGCAAGATTCCAATAAGTATTTCTGTATTTATCTATTGCCGTTTAGAAGCCAAACAGTTAATTGCCTGCGGAGGAGGCTAGTTTAGCATAAGATAGTGGCTAGCCGCTGAAACTACGTGAAGCGATCCGCACACAAGATGGCCGAAAAAAAAGAGTGACGAGTTTGGAGCGTTTTGTTACAGAAACGTTGCTTTTTAAACGTGAATATCAGGAGGAATGTTACCTTCAATAATCCAAAGGGTACAACAATCGTAAATTTAAAAAAATAAAATAGTAACTAGTACGTTTATTCTCAAATTAGTAGGTTTTCAGGTCTTCGTCTTCATATCACGACTTCGGGAAATATTATTTATAATAATTCGGGTAATATTTCGCCGAAAACCCCACTATAAACATAAACCATAACGGAATACAATGGCAATGCTCATTGTATAATATGGATATTAGGGACCTTGAGCATGTAGAAGGCAAGTAACAAGTGGCAACGCGACGACGACGGCCAAAAGAAACTCCATCAGGCTTCAAAATAAATGATTTTAAAGAAAATTTGTCATGTATATTATCCATTGTATGAATTCACTACAACTTGAGGAGGTACATGTAAGACAGGGACTTCATGGTTGAAAAGAGCTCTACTGAGCCAATTTTCTGTGTACCACCTTTCGTGGCTTTAAATACAATTACAGGCGTTGTAAACAAGGCATGATAATCTTTGATTTGCCGTTGGCAACAGAGCGAGGACGACATCTAAAACTCCCGAGAGTCTTTTAATCTACATTTCTTTTCTGCACATCCTCCTTGCTAAATTTTCCTAATTGCACAAAAGCAGGTATGTGTTAGAACTTACCATATTTTGGTAAGCCTAATGATTCGCTATACCCCGTCAAATGCACCACAGGACGTTCTTTTTTAACCTGAGAGAAAAAAATAGGAAAGTCAATTACACAATGATAGGAAATATTGTAGTCTAATACCTTTATCTGGCAAACCTTGCTTGCCCTAAATTCTAGCGATGAAAGATATTTGATTTCAAATTAATTTCACGATAATCGATTACGCCGTTTGACCTCGTGCAATTCAATATCAAACAAACCTCGAAAAAAGTGATGTTGCAAAACTTCGAAGCATGTTGTTATATAGCTATAGGGTGAACATCAAACGTGATTGGCTGATTTGTGGTCACGTGGTTTTAGATAAATGCAATGTATCCCGCTGGGAACATACCAAATGTCAAACCAAAAAATGTGCTTCCAGTTTAATTTCGTAATAGTATTGTATATAAGGTATGGAATCATTCTCAATCTTTTTGCAAATTTCAAACACAACAAAATTATAATACGACCGTCGCAGTCGGGTTTAATGCGCATGATGCAGTTACACTGTTAATTTTAAGGAGTTAATTCAGTGGTTTTATTTTGTATCGCATTTAACGCCAAATGTGGAGTGATTCATTAATTTTGCATTGCGCACTTCTAATAACAAATTTTAGCTAATATATATGCAGCCGAACTGCAATGTAAATAATAAAGAAACAGTAAGGGCAAGAGAAAAACACTCTGCTGCATTGATTAGGTATGCTTCAGGAAATATATACCTTAAAAAAGACAGAATTCTGGCTAGGGCTCCTGTGCAACTAACACTACTTATAAACCACATCGTGTTGCAACCCTTGTATCTCTTTAAGAAGGTATTTAAATATCAATTGTTCCTGTGTTACTCGTAAAAGGGTCAAAAATGGCGCCATATGGGGGAAAAGGTGGCATATTGCACTTGTCATATCTTCGAAACGAGTTCGGTGACCCCAACTGTTTTTACTAGAGCATATCATAAACTTCACCCCTGGAAAGTTTCAGCAAATTCTCATTTCCAGAACAATTACTGATGAATTACCTTGTAATAGTATAGTTGTTTGTTGCTTCTTTAGTTTGTATACAGTAGCTTTATTTCGGTTCATTGTTCTTCTTTAGTGATAATATGATTTTAATTGGGTTTCATATTTACGTTTGTTATTTTTAGTTCGCATGACATAAAACTAACATTTTAACTCAAATTGTTTTTGGGCCGAGTCACGTGATTTTGAAAACGAGTGTAATACCAGTGTCATCCGGCGAAAATTGATTAGTACGTATGGTTGGCTCGATTCTTCATGCAATAAAAAAATGCTATACTAATTTATGGTTGGCTCGATTCTTCATGCAATAAAAAAATGCTATACTAATTTCTTACCGTTAATGCAGACATATTACAGGCATTACATTTTCCTGGTTCGCCTTTCTCACCATGGATACCAGAAATTCCCTGCAGACCTGGGAAACCAGGTGCACCCTTTGGTCCCGACTTGCCCGGTGGACCTGAAATAAACATTTGTAACAAGTTTAATTCACAGTAAAACTATCCGCCAATGAAAGTGCCACTAACTCCAAATGTGATTTTTGGTATTTTGTAATATTTCGATCATTCGACGACGAAACGTAATATATCTTCGTTGGAAAAACGAAGTCGTAAAGAAGTTTTCACTGTCAGAGTTGCCGGAAATGATGTCAATAGATGAATTGTAAATTAGTTTTCTTTTGTTTTCTAAATGTGGTTTGGTCGTGATGAGACGCTCGGTTGACGCTATTTCAGTGACATAAAATCTTTTAACCAATCACAACTGTCTTGGAAGCATCACGAGACAGCGTTGTTTGGTATAAATCATGGATCACATCAAATGGCGTTTTAATCTCTTTCCATCGTGTTTCAAAGCCCCCAAAACGTTTCGGTAGGGTATAAAACAAATAGAAAATATGTTGCCATTGTTTGTTTAGCTGAATGTACACAGAGGACGTTATAACATGGTAAGAACGTAAGTGACCCACTCGACCTGGCGGCTCGTAGGGCACTTCGCAAACGCAATGTCAACAAAAATTGATTAGAGCAACCTCTCGGACTATAGCATGATATAGATATATCATGGATATAGATAGATCTTCAGAAGAGTCGTTACGACGTTTTTGTCATATAAATGCTGTACTGCACTTAACTGGGGCAATATGATGAAAACGACTATAGAAACATCATTTTGCATGTGACTTATATGTTTCCACAGTGTAAATCAGTTAGCAACTTTATTTAATGAGGGTTAGCACTTCACAATTATCACGAAAGACTGACCAAATTGTGACTCACTAGGGTTACCAGAAGAACAACTAATGTCTTCGGCGCTTCGCAGCCCAATTACTGCATTTTGCCTGAGCTACAAAGGCAGTTAAAAACATATGTACATGGAATATAATTAGTTGTTAAGCCAGAACTATGGCATACAGTATTTGTTCTATATAAATATTGATTTTTCTGTTTATCCTTTGTTCAGCACGAATTAAACGTTATATTTATATCTATTTACACACATTCTTTCGTTTAATCCCAGAAAATATGTACTTAAATCCTTGTGTGTTGAAAGCTGTATAAATTAACCAATGTGAGGACCGACGTAACACCAAACTGGTTTAGATTATCGACCTTGATTTAATCATGGATCATAAAACCACGTAGTTTTTTTAACTATCCATTATTTAATGTAGTCCTTCCCCCCAAAATTATATGGGGTCACGGAACCGGAGGAGGGCGACAGTTATAATAAGGTGGGCTATTTTAAAAAATTTATTTTCCAATCATCGTTTTATTTAAACTGTCTATAAATCTGTCATCAGGGAAAGAATGGGGCGGAGATTTTCAGTGGCTAAATTATGAAAGAACGACGTTCCGAACCTCCAAAACATATTGCAATTGATCCAAGAGTAATGTCCAGGAGGGAGTGCAGACGATACTTTTGACGGGGTGGATGTAGGGGATACATTCCATTCCCGGAAAAATCACTCCAGTCTCCACATTACACTTGTTTAGCTATCTGAAAAGAGCGCGGCCAATTAAAGCCATACAAATTTATACAACGCACTCGTTTCCAGATCGCTAAAAGTGTGATCAGCTTTTTGATATGTCGAGAGTGGGATTTCTGGTTAAATTGTTATTCTGTGCATGCCCGGGTAGTCGATCAAGGAAAACAACAGCTAAATGAAACGTGGCAAATTTCTACGTTTCCTCTGTAGAAATGCCTCGTTCGCGCAACATGTCTTGCAAGAAAATTCCAAGAAATATGTAGCGTACCTGTAATACCAGTGTCACCTGAAAAAAAAAAAGCAGACTAAGAATGAAACGAATCAAATAATACGTGGGAATGAAACAGAACACATGAACGACAAAGGTATCGCAGCTAATAGGACGTACTGAATCATGTGTGATGCGCTTAACGCAGCCAGCTGCAAAATACGAATGTTTATCAAGATATGTTGAGAGAGAGAGAGACTTTATTTATAGAGGATGACACTTGACAGTACGAATACTGATGACTCCGTGGTCCTCTGGAAACCTATGTGCCTAACCCACGGAGTACCCGGAGAAAACCCACGACTTTCGGCAGAGCGTCGACTTTTACTCTTTTCACATGAGGCCTGTGTTCGAGTCACATTGAGAAGTTCTCACTGAGATTCGAACCTGCGGCCTTAGAGGTGAAAGGCAAGTGCGCTAACCACTTCGCCATCGAAGCCCCTTATCGATGCATGCATGGAATGTTTCACGTATGCATGCAGCAACATGAGACAAGGAAGCCATAATGATGCTCGGATTCATTTTCGTTGTTTTGCTTTTGAGACAAAGAATGCCTCTAACTTTGTTATACATATCAATGACAAAAAGCAAGAATAGCAAGATATAGAAATATTCCAACCATCGACTGAATAATTTTGACAAAATAGGAGATTTTAATAAATCAGCTTCCTTGAATTTCGCACCTATTTCATAACTCAGAAATGAGTTAGAACTTATCCCTTTTAACTGCATGTTAGTACGGCAAAATCTTTATTCTTCTTAAATTTCATGGCGTAATGAAAGTTGACAAATAGAGAATGAGATTGAATTCATAAATTCATGAAGTTCCTCGAGTTTTCACGCGCGGTATTGATTTTATGGACCACGTGATGCACTTTATTGGCACCTCGTGGCAAATCTTAGAACGTTTCATATTCCACTATAAGATCATTCTTCGGTGGAAATATTGTCACTTTTTGCAATTTGCGACAGCACAAAAGGGAAAACCGTGTTCAGGCCCTTTTCTCTCATGCTCGCAAACATTTATAGTAGAGTAGTGTTCGAATATTTGGGGGGTCCCGTGCATCACACATACTTCGGTCACATCGCTCGTTTCATCGCCTTATTGAGTATTGTCATAACGTAGCAGGTTAGTTGTACAGACATCGAATGGAGTAAACCTTAACAACCGAGAATAACTAGGTTTACTAGCAACACTACCATTGACATGTTATCAAGCTCCGGTATCGATTAGCTTGAATTTCAGCGGCTCATCGAGTGAGTGGCTGAATTAAAAAGGCAGTCATGTCGGTTTTGATGATGCGGGTTTTCTTGTTGCATTACTTGATGAAAACAAAAGGTAAATGACTTTTAAAAAACAATTTCTGAGCCCAAACGATTCATTACGCAGCTATACAGTAGAGCGTTTGCACTCATTAACTCTACAAAAGCCATGGCGGCCATGTTGGTGTTCCGGACAAAAGGGTTTAATTAAAATTATTTTGAATTGGAACACCAACATGGCGGCTGTGACGTCATGTGTAAACGCTCTATAAAGGCAAAATTTATAATCAAAAACAATAAAATAGTGAAAAATAGATTTACAAGCTAGTAAGAGTTCCAAATGCCGTATATGACGCTCACCGAGCATACCACAAGTGCGCATGGGGCCGGTTGTTTCAAATCAATCTTCCCAGCAGCTTGTTCATTAACATGGAAATATTTTCCAGAAATCTTGTTTGGATGAATTTATTTTCTAAAGTGTTGAAATAGACAGACGCGCAGAAATACACAAACCAAATCGGCAAGTTAAATTTTAACCCTGGGTTAGCGCTAATCCATTTTTGAACAACCGGCGCATGGTTAGAAAAAATTAAACATGTTATGTCTACGTCATGACATCATACTCATCAATTTTGTGACAACTAGTTACCGCGCGGCAAAAATATAAGTTCCCTGCAATTTGGCACAAATATGTCGGGTGGTGACTTAGGTTGTTTTGTAGCTAATCATCATATTTTTAAGGAAATGCATAATGTTTCCTGCAATTTCTTAGAATTGTCCCCTCTCCCACACGCGTGGAATTAACGATGTTATAGTTTCCGCTTGTTTAAAATCTTACAAATTACTCTCCAGATATTGAATAATAAAATTCATGATAAAACAATACTTTACTACTATTCTTTATCAAATTAAACTTTCTCTGATGCAGCAAAACTATGAATGGGAGAAGAATGGCAATGATTTCCCCTCCCCCTCAAAAAAAAAAATCTCTTTAGATAAAATATATAATTATAGTACGCGACTGTTGACTGCATGGTCGATAACCCTGTTTCGTCCAAGCTACTTATATGAAGCATAGATAAATGACCTAAACATGAAAATTGCGGTCTTGTTTATGGTTGAATTATACCCCCACTCAGCCTAGTCCTAGGCTCTCTCTCTATTCGCTGCTTTGATAAATTTAAATAAGTCTTAAAAGTTTTATGCCTGGGTGTGCTGTGCGGAACGCTTCAGCGAGAGAGCCTAGCAGATTTCGGTAAAATGGTCCCTGATTTCAAAAAAGTGGTCCCTGGCCTGGTTACCAAGCATACCTCATTTGTAAATGGAAAATGTTATGGAAATTTCCTTTGCATTTATAATTAAGTCATTAGTTTTGCTCTAATGCTCTCGGAACAATGAAGTAGGCTACGTTTCGCGGCCATACGGTCAGAATGGAATAACGGGCTAAATATGACTCGTGTTTACTAAAATATATAGCCATATTAAATGCTATCTAGAAGCTTGAAAATTATGCCGAGTTTCCGACTAAGAATGTTTTGACAACACCGTCATGTCAGGCAAATATTTCCAATCTCCTCAGCAATTTAAACCTGTCAAGTAGAAAGCGTAGTTGTGTAATACCAGTATGGTCTAGTGTTGATCACAACTTGCGAGTACATAAATAACATCAACGATTGCTCAAACTCGGTATCGTAAATTTGTATATATTTTTTTTAGTTGAGCACATTTTTAATACAGTTTGATTTGGTTATGTAGACATCGAACATGTACATGATGAACGAACATTGTCGTATTTATAATTAAAAGGTTACTTGTATATATAAATTTTCCGCCATATTAAAAATACTGAAATCTGCTAGGCGTTCTGAAGCACCTTGAGCGGTGACGTCACACCTAGGTCCCAGTCTCGTACTACATCCACTTTTTTCTCGCGCTTGCTTCGGAACGCCTGGGACTAGGCTGACCCCCACTGACTTTCCGATTACCAGCATCACTAAAAAAGGTTGCACCGTTAGCAGCATATTAAGAAAAACGTGTCTGACTTTTTTAATACATCATCTTACCTTTAAGACCTTTGGTTCCAGTAGAACCTCTACTTCCTATAAAATGCAAAAGTGCTCTCAGTACAGGTGTTACAATTGAAAAGTTATAAAAATTAGTAGCACTGACTAGGGAAAGATCTGAACATGAATTTCATATTATCGTTTTTATTTAAAACTATCATCAATAACTTATAGAACAATAAATTGAAATGAAAAGTCTTTTATTTTCTGAAATCATGAATAATTAATGTTTCAGTACCCAACAATCAAGTTTGCGTCACATGTACAGTATTGTACACGTATAAATGATCAATCTGTTACTTTTTGATACAAAATGGCCGCTGATGTTGTAAACATTATCTTTTATAGGCTTCATTACTGAATTCCACACGCTTTCTATACTTTTCAGGCCCAGAGTTATTGGATTCTCCAACCAATCTCGTGCATATCGTTCAGGTTTACACTGATTACACTGAAACCTAACACCCAAAATATTATTACTCAAGGATCAAATATGCCAAGTAAGATGGCCATAATATTATTTTGCGCTTCACTTCGCTGTTTTAGGTGCATATAATAAACCATTCGTATTTCTAAATCGAAACCTTTGCTGACAGAATAATACCAAATTCTGCACCGGAATTTTACGTGATGAGAAATGTTGACTTGATATGGATCCATTAGGATTACTCAATCAACACTTCTATTAAGGTTTTAACAGTATACAATTAAATACAATTATCAATTAGTGGAGCAATTACTATGTACAAGGTGGTAAAAGTTTTGTTTACCATTACAGGTAAACTACGCGAAGCGTTCCTCTTTTGACTTCCTAACTCATTTGGAATTTTCCTCATTAGGTTTGCAAATTTGAAAAACTGCTTGCAAAT